TACAGGTGCGCGATACCACGCCCAGCTAATTTTTTTGTATTTTTAGCAGAGATGGGGTTTCACCATGTTGGCCAGGATGATCTCTATCTCTTGACCTCATGATCCGCCCGCCTCGGCCTCCCAAAGTGCTGGGATTACAGTCGTGAGCCACCGCGCCCGGCCCCCTTACTTTTTCTACCAGATGGCAGATCCTGAACAAGACAGCTGACCAGAGTTGTGGGCTAGCCTGTGGTCAAGAAAACCAAGTTACCCAATCTGCACGCAGATGAAGCCTTGGCAGTACCTCCAATAACCAGTGGTGGTAACTGACTATGTTGATGGATTAGAACTGTGTTTTGCAACCCATACTGTGCAAGGCACAGTTGTGAACTTGTCCCTTGTGAACAGAGAGGGCAATAGAACAACCACAAACAGAAATAACTTCTATCAAAGTGGGGCAGAGGAGGGAAGAGGAGAGGCTGAGAAAGATCATGTCGAATGTGGCAAAAAACATTAAGATGAGGGGAGGCCAGGGAGGAAACCTGGAAATGTGAACAGAAAGACCAGAGGGAGGGGAAGTGGAGTAGGTAGTCCACTAGAAGGAGGACAGAAGACCTAACAGAACAGGACCACAATAGGGGGTGAAACCTCCAGCCCAGCGGGCTCAATCCAGGAAATGAACAGGAAAGACCTACATACTGTCTGTCTATGGGTCTCCTGAATTGGACCACCTTCTCGCTTCCCAAACCATCCAGCACCCCAAAACATCTTAATCAGGTTTGTATTCAAGACCAGCCAGCAGAACTAAAATACTTTTTTTAGGTGTCTCTGCAAATCTCATTCCAGAAAAAAAAATCCTCACTTGCTTGCAGATGTCTAAGGAAATGCCTCTACCTTCAACAATTAGACACAAAACCCTGCAAATAAAACTCTCTGGTTGAGGCAACACCATAGGATACCTGATGATGTTCCATTAATCAGACTTCAAGCTATTTACCTGACCTTTCCATCTTGGTTTTCAAAGACAAGAAGGAAAACAAAAAGCAGGTAATCATTTGTCCCAAGTAGACTGGGGATGCATTCCTGCTTTACTTCATCTGGGAATGAAAAATAAAAGCTAAACTCTAAGAGATCTTTAATAAAATCATGCAACTCTGTTTGATAATTTATAATTTTTTTTTGATTGCTCATTAGTTTGGAATATGGTTGATTTTGTACAAAAGGAATTTTATCCTCCACTAATTTGCCAATCACAAAACCATCACTAACACAGGACTATGGATTTCTGTGTCCACACTTGCTCAGCACCACCCTCCTCCTGCCTGCACCTGTGAGCAAGCGAACAAAGGGTTGGAACATGCAGGCTGGGAAATACCGCTCCAGAGTGATGCTGAGCTACAGGAGGCCTGCAAAGATCCCCAAACTTCCCAGCCAAGGAGCTGCTTGCTCCCTTATGTGGGAGGGTCACACTCATTTTAATTCTTGAAAAGCCCAGTTGGGCGGATTACAAAGTCAGGAGTTCAAGACCAGCCTGACCACCATGGTGAAACCTCGTCTCTACTAAAAATACAAAAATTAGCCAGGCATGGTGATGTGCGCCCGCAATCCCGACTACTCAGGAGGCTAAGACGGGAGAATCACTTAAACCTGGGAAACGGAGGTTGCAGTGAGCCAAGATTATGCCACTGCACTCTAGCCTGGGTGACGGAGAGAGACTCCATCTCCAAAAAAAACCCCAGTTAGAATAATAACATTCTAGGAAATACTTTTTTCAGTAAAACTTAATTGAAGTAATGTGAAAGTTCTGTTTCTATTTCAGAAATGATGCTTTGATTTTTAATTTGTAATGCCCCAAACCTATTTAAATTATTTACCTCCAATGCTTACTCCAACCCAGAAAGCATACATTAGGAAGGAAGAGAGTTCACCCACTGTCATGTGGGCACTGCCCATCAGCAGCCCTCCTTTGTACAGGACAGAAAGCACAATCAGGTTTCCAGAGAGCCCAGTCTGTCGAATGAAACAAACACAGAAGTCAGGTGGGAACCAAAGACCCAGAATGCAAAAAGCGTGAACATAGCATGTAATGTCCCTTTTGCATTTAACTGTCACAGCAAGATTTTTCCAAAATATTAACTTCACCTGAGTTTCAAATTTAAAATGGTTTTGTAATATTGCAATATTGAAGAAAACAATCTCATCACCATGAAAACCTCTAAGCTAAGTCTCCTATCAGATCCCTATTTTATTCAATCTACTCAGTTTGCAAAGGATAACACTAATATTAAAGGTTCGTTCCCTAACTAGAGGAAACAAATATCTACTATATAGGTTTATATAATTTAATGAGATGTTCTGGGTAAGGACACCAGCCTGAGGAGCTGGAGTCCTGTACCTGTGGCCTGTTTTTACCTTGGTTACATATGTGGTCACCTTAGGTATAGGGGCAGCCTTCTCTGAGCTGCTGTTCCTTAACTGTTAATCATGGCAATGATGGAATCACCTCTGAAGTTCTTTTCAGTTTACACATATCTTGAATTTGCCCTCATGGTGATTTTCTATTTCGTGTCCTACTTGAATGCACTGTGATTGATTTTTTTATACTTCTTTCTTGAAACACACTGAGGGGATTTCAGTTAATCCTCAGACTTTGATGGCATCAAAATTACCCAGAAAGCCTGCTAAACAGATCAATGGCCCCAGCTCCAGAATTTCCTGCCCAGCAGATCTGGGGTGGAGCTGAGTCTCAGGGAGGCTGACCAGCACCCAGGCAAAGCTAATGCCGTTGGCCTACAGTGCACAGAGAATTAATGCCTGATCGCAACATGCACTGACTTTTCTCTAAGGACATTTATTTGTTTCTTCCTTTTTCACAAAAATATAGTAAAGAAAGTCATTCTTGGCCTTGAAATTAAAGACTAAAATTTAAAAAATTAAAATTATTTTCTACTTATGCTGAGCACCACAGAATAAAACTCTCACAGTTCTAACATCTGCCACTTTCACTTTTTCCAAAATTATCTACTTACTGCTCCAAAGAAGCCAGCCCGAGCGAATGCCTCTTTCCTTGCTAACTGCATCACATAGTCCACTTTGCTGGCATATTTCTCTATTTCAGTCATTTCTTTCCCAAAAGCTCGAACAGTTCTTACATTTCCAATACGTTCCTCAGCTAGCTGGGAGAATAATAAATACATTTCAGGAGGAGAAGGGTCCTATTTCAAGAGCTTCTAAAAGCAAACCTAAAATGTAGTTCTCATTTTTAAGACACCATCAATGGAAAGCCACTCCTGATACATAACTAAGTCAAAAAAGAGTGACAAAGCAGAGTATACAAAACAATCCTAGTTTTGGGGAAAAAAAATCTATACCTAAATATATCATATATGTAGACAGAAAAATAGGAGAGTATGTAGATGCAGAGATACATTTTTTTTTTTTTTTTGAGATGGAGCTTTGCTCTTGTTGCCCAGGCTGGAGTGCAGTGGCAGGATCTTAACTCACTACAACCTCCGCATCCCAGGTTCAAGCGATTCTCCTGCCTCAGCTTTCTGAGCAGCTGTGATTACAGGCACGTGCCACCATGTCCAGCTAATTTTCTATATTTTTAGTAGAGACAGGGTTTCATCATGTGGGCAGGCTGGTCGTGAACACCTGACTTAGGTGATCCACCCACCTCAGCCTCCCAAAGTGCAGGGATTACAGACGTGAGCCACCTCACCCAGCCAGAAATACATTCTTATGCAGAGAAAAAGATAGACTCCAAAATGCTAATAATGTTAATTTTAAAAGACAGGATTATGCCTGTTTTTGTTTTCTCTGTTTATATTTTCAATTTTTCAACAATAAACATGCATGGTTTTTGTAACATGAAAGTATAATGGTTATTTAAAAAAATTTTTTTGGAATACTTTTGCTCTTGTTGCCCAGGCTGGAGCGCAATGGCACGACATCGGCTCACTACAAACTACGCCTCCCAGGTTCAAGCGATTCTCCTGCTTCAGCCTCTCAAGTAGCTGGGATTACAGGCACACACCACGATGCCTGGCTAATTTTTGTATTTTAGTAGAAACGGGGTTTCACCATGTTGGCCAGGCTGGTCTCAAACTCCTGACCTCAGGTGATCCACCCACCTTGGCCTCCCAAAGTGCTGGGGTTACAGCTGTGAGCCACTGCACCAGGCCATTTTTAATTTTTGAAAAGATAATGTTGCACAGCACTGAAAAGCTAGATTACATTAATAAAACATAGCGTTATCCAGTAACTATTTACAAAACATGATTAGCTGTTACATCCTATAACAAATAGTGATAGCGGGTGGCTGTGGTGGTTCACGCCTATAATCCCAGCACTCTGATTGAGGTGGGAGGATCACTTGAACCCAGGAATTTGAAACCAGCCTGGGCAACACAGTAAGACCCTGTCTCTACAAAAAATTTTAAAAATTAGTGGAGCATGGTGGCATGTGCCTATAGTAACAGCTACTGAGGAGGCTGAGGTGGGAGGATCACTTGAGCCCAGGAGGTAAAAGCTTCATTGAGCTATGATTGCACCACTGCAGTCCAGCCTAGAGTGCATGAAAAAAAAAAAACTTTTTTCATGTACCCTGTCTGAAAAAGAAAAAAAGAAAAGGGTGATAGTAAGAAGTGAAGACTTTTCTAGAGTGCATGGAAAAAAAAGTTTTTTCACGTACCCTATCTGAAAAAGAAAAGAAAAGAAATAGTAATAGTAAGAAGTGAGGACTCCATAAAATGTTTAGTCAAGTTGGATCTACTTGGAGATACAGATAGAAATCTAGTCTAGAAAACAGAGCAGTTTAAGTTTCTGGGATCTTGGGGTAATTTCTAATGAAAGGAAAGGAAGGCACTTTATTGAAAAACTTAAGCACATCCCTTAGGATCTGCCCTCTAGGACCCTGATTGTAACCCCACTCTGCTGAAGACCACACGGACAGGAAGGGGCCTTTACCTGAGTGGCTTGTGCCAGGGAATCCTGGGTGACTTTGGTCAGTTTCCGTAGATATCGTCCATAAATTACAGCAATGATTGACACTGGAGGCACCAAGCTCAAAACAAAGGTGGCCAGATTAGGTGAGACAAAAAACTGTCAAAAACAGAAAAAAATGAGAGGTGTTTGTTACACAGGTGGCAAGACATTCTTATTACCTATAGTAGAGGAGTATGTGTGTGAGTGTGTCTTTGTGTGAATGTGTTTAAATTAATAGCAGGCTTGAAGGTACTGTCCCAAGTTACTACATCCTGTTTTGGTGGAATTTTTCAGACATCTTCATTCTTCACAAAACCCCATAAATATTCAGCATGACACATAGAAGAAATGTGACAAGCAGTTGCTAAAGAAAGAATCTTCAGGCCAATAGTAGATCACATCATGGTGTTCAACAACAGAGTGGGAAGAGACAGGATGGGAGTGTGGCAGACGCCTATTCTGCTCCACACTGCCAGACAACATCAGGAGTTGTGTATTCAAGTCTGAACCACCTGCAGGAACTGGACAACCAGAGCAACAGGTCCCACCGAAATGACCAAGATGGTAAAGTCACCAAAAAGCCCCACATCGGGCTGGGCGTGGTAGCTCTCACCTATAATCGCAGTACCTTGGGAGGCTGAGGTGGGCGGATTACCTGAGGTCAGGAGTTGGAGACCAGCCTGACTGACATAGAGAAACTCCATCTCTACCAAAAATACAAAATTAGCCAGGCATGGTGGTGCATGCCTGTAATCCCAGCTACTCGGGAGGCTGAGGCAGGAGAATCGCTTGAACCTGGGAGGCGGAGGTTGCAATAAGCCAAGATCAAGCCACTGAACTCCAGCCTGGGCAACAGAGTGACGTTGCATCTCAAAAAAAAAAAAAAAAAAAAAAAAAACCCACACAAAAAATCCCACATCATATGACAGTCAACAGAGGGACACGACTAACAAGTAAAAGAAGAATTAGAGCTGCTTTCATGGCTCAGTGGACTGAAGTCAGCAGGAGGGATCTGGGCTCAATATATTGAGGAGCTTCTAGCAATTGGAACTGCTGAAAGCATAGCCTAACTTTTAGAAGTAAGTAACAGAGGGTTTTCCTGTCAACCTTGTAATTTGGTGATTGTATTTTCAATGGTACTAGCATCTCTTCAACAAATTACTAAAATCTATCATATCTCTTTTGCAAAGAAAATAGTATAATCAGTACAAGGCTCTCCTAAATGATGCTGAGGAAAAGCTGCAAACTTAAACATAAGGTAGTGAATGGACCAACCAATCATTCGTTCATTCACTCATTCAACAAGTTATTACTGAGCGCAAGCACTATTCCAGGCACCTGGCAGTTAACCAACCCTCACAGAGTTTTCATACAAGAAAGAAGAAGTGGGATTTACATAATAAACAAGTAAAAGAGAGAGAAAGTATCACTTCAGATGTAACATGATCTTGGAAGATCTCACCACCAAGAGGTAAGAGCCAATGGATAAAGGCCTTGAGGCAGAAAGGGGCTTGGCACCTTCACAGACGAGCAGGCAGATTCGTATAGGAATGTCCCACCCTGGGAAGACTAGTCCATCAGGACACCTGGGGTGAGCCTGTGGGGTGGGGAAGGGGGCATAATCTTATTTCTGATGGTCACCATCAGGACACAAGACCAACAGGCAAGTCTAACACTTCCGGGGCCTGAACACAACTGATCTCAAAAGAACCAACTGAACAAGTGTACTCTGTGTGGGGCAGGCACAGTCTATCAGGATTCTCCCAGAACTGTCCCAGAACCACCCCCGTCCCTTCACTCTGGTTCCATACTTAATGAATAACCTTCTGATGACTAATACAGGATCCTGGCACCATAATGAAGTGTTTGGAATAGCAGAAATGGGCTGGGCATGGTGGCTTATGCCTGTAATCCTAGCACTTTGGGAGGCCAAGGCAGGTGGATCACATGAGCCCAGGAGTTCAAAACCAGTGGGTTGGGCAACATGATGAAACATTGTCTCTACAAACAATACAAAAATTAGCCAGAATGATGATGCACACCTGTAGTTCCAGCTACTCAGGAGGCTGAGGTGGGAGGATCACTTGAGCCCAAGAGATGGAGGCCGTAGTGAGCCAAGATCATACCACTGTACTACAGCCTGGGCAACAGATTGAGACCCTGTCTCAAAAAACAAAAAACAAACAAAACAAAAAAAACTGAAAAAAAAAATTGTAATGGCAGAAACACATCTTAATGGTAGGAAGGAAGGCCCACTATGTAAATTAATAAATTGGCAATATGGTATACACAGTATGAGGTTCTCTTAATTGGACTTCTCCTAAGTCAGGTCCATAAGTTTGTGTAGAAGAAACAAAGTCACATTTCTGACCCTCTAGAGCCAAAGATCAGATCCTAGGTGAAGCCACTTCCTGAGGTGCTGTTATAGACTGAATGTTTCACCCTGAAATTCACATGTTGAAGCCCTAACCCCCAGCATGGTTGTATTTGGAGATGGGGCCACTAAGAAAGTAACTAAGGCTAACTAAGGCTAAATGAGGTAAGTGTGGGCCCACGATCCAACAGGATTAGTGTCCTTATAAGAAGAGACACTCCAGAGCACACTCTCCATCCACTATGTGAGCACACAGCAAGATGGCAACTGCCTACAACCCAAGAAAAGAGGCCTCGGAATGAAGCTATTTTGCTAGCACCTTGATCTTGGACTTCCAACCTTCAGAACCATGAGAAACACATTTATGTTGTTCCAGCCACCTAGTCTGTGGTAGTATGGCAGCCCAAACAAACCCTTTGAATTGCTCATCTGACCTACACTGAATTCCCTTTCCTTGTTACAGAAAGAGGTACCCCAGGCTGGGCACAGTAGTGCATGCCTGTAATCCCAGCACTTTGGGAGGCCAATGAGGGTGGATCACAAGGTCAGAAGTTCAAGACCAGCCTGGCCAATGTGGTGAAACCTCATTTCTTAAAAAAAAAAAAAATTAAAAAAAAGAGGTACCCCAAGTGATTTTTCCCAGCTTGAATTCTTCCTGATCCCCAAAACTATTCATATTTGAAAAACGGCATGTTAGTTCAGGAAGGGTCCTCTTCCAAAGGTTTGCTTCTCTCTTAGCTGGAAATCATGAGATTTTAAAGCTGTTTTTCATTCTATAAGTCTGATCAAATAGGCAACACAACCTTCCTCTCTGAACTGAATGCTTCACGGGACACAGAGGACAAAATCCAAGCTTTCCATTTGTGAGAAAGGATTATTTACAGTTCTTATTCCACAGGGTCTAGAACTGCACTGACCAAAACGATAGGCTCACATGGCTACTGGAAACTTAAAATGTGTCAGGTATGACTGAGATACTTTTTAAAATTGCATTTAGGTTTAATTAATTTAAATTTAAAAGCCTAAACTCCATCCAGTTATTATCAAACTATTATGTCTGGAAAACTTGAGTATGTCAAACTACTTTTTCAGTTGTACATTTTATAAAACCTAAATCCAGATCAAGTACTTTCAATGAAAATTTTGCATCTGAATTAAGATGCTTCATAAGTAGAGAATACACATCAGATTTGGAAATTCAGTTGATCTTTGAACAACATAGGTTTGAACTGCATGGGTCAACTTATACACAGATTTTCTTCCATCTCTGCTGCCACTGAGACAGTAAGAACAAACTTTCTTCCTCCTCTCAGCTTACTCAATGTGAAGACAATGAGGATAAAGACTTTTATCATGATCCACTTCCACGTAATAAATAACAAATATATTTTCTCTTCCTTATGATTTTCTTAATAACATTTTCTTTTCTCTAGCTTGCTTTATTATAAGATCATAGTATATAATATACATAACACACCAAATACATGGTAATTGACTGTTTATGTTATCAGTAAGGCTTCTGGTCAACAGTAGGCTAGTAGTAGTTAAGTTTTTGGGGAGTCAAAAGTTATACTTTGATTTTTGACTGTGTGGGGTTCAGTGTCCCAACCCCTGCATTGTTCAAGGGTCAACTACAACATGAAAGAAATAATGTAAAATATCTTATTAATAATTTTTATATTAATTACATGTTGAGATGACAATATTTTGTTTATATTGGCTTAAACAAAACATGATTAAAATTGCTCTCATCCAGGTACAGTGGCTCAAGCCTGTAATCCCAGTACTTTGGGAGATCAAGGCAGGAGGATCACTTGAGGCCAAGAGTTTGCGACCAACCTGGGAAACATAGAGAGACCCTGCCTCTACAAAAATATATTTGTAGGTATACACATTTTTTAATTAGCCAAGCTTGAGGGTCTGTGTCTGGAGTCCCAGATACTTGGGAGACTGAGGTAGGAGAATCACTTGAGCCCAGGAGTTTAAGACTGCAGTGAGCTATGATCTTGCCACTGTACTTCAGCCTGGGTGACAGAGTGAGACTGTCTCTAAAAAAAAAATTAAAATTGGGCCGGGCACGGTGGCTCAAGCCTGTAATCCCAGCACTTTGGGAGGCCGAGACGGGTGGATCACGAGGTCAAGAGATCGAGACCATCCTGGTCAACACGGTGAAACCCCGTCTCTACTAAAAATACAAAAAATTAGCTGGGCATGGTGGCGCGTGCCTGTAATCCCAGCTACTCGGGAGGCTGAGGCAGGAGAATTGCCTGAACCCAGGAGGCGGAGGTTGCGGTGAGCCGAGATCGCGCCATTGCACTCCAGCCTGGGTACAAGAGCGAAACTCCGTCCCCAAAAAAAAAAAAAAAAAAAAAAATTAAAATAAAAAAATGAAATTAATATCATTGGCTTCTTTTTGCTTTTTTAAATGTGGCTACCAAAACATTAAATAACATACGTGGCTTGCATTGTTTCTCTACTGACCTGCAGCACTGGGCTAAATAGAAACACTTGTTGAAGAAGTAGGGCAAGCAGACGGGACAGGCACAAGCCACCCAGTTAAGGGAAGGAAAAAAGCCTGCGGGAGTGAAGAGCACTCCCCTTAAAAGAACACAGGTAGAGTTATACACACCGAGGAATGGAATTTAGTCACTGATTGGTACCACCCACAGATTGGTACCACCCACTGATTGGTACACTCCACAGAAGGAGTACCCAGTGCTCCTTCTACCTGATGGTCTTTTCTGCCTTAATACCCCAGGTTTACACATCTCAGAATACCCAACAGTAACACAAGAATCCATTTTCCAGATAATCATTCATTCTGTAGAAATGAAGGTATAAGAGGCCATGCATGTGGAGGCAATCCCCACGTCCCAGCAGCCTCTGCAACAGCACTTTTGGCTCTAGGCACTTACAGAATGATGCAAACTGATCACCTTGAGCTCATCTCACAATTGAGAGGCCTGGTGCAAGCCAGGCCCTGGCAGGAAGGTACCAAAGGGAACCAGGCCAACATACCATCATACTGACACCTACAGAAGCCTGGGCCCCAGCCCTGAGCCCATCTGAGAGGTTTTCAGTCACTGAGCGCCCAAGGAGTGCAGTGTCTGATGAGAGGCGGTTAATCAATTCTCCTGTGCGGGTCTTGTCAAAGAAAGCAACCTCCTGCCTCAGAATGGAGGAGAATAATGAAGTTCTCAGCCTATTCACAATGCGCTGACCTGCAAAAGCAAACACAAACAGTCTCACCTGGAGTAAAGACATCCATTACCATTATGGGACAGCCATCTACTGTGCAGCAGCTTGGCCTGGAGTTGTAACCTTTCTGAGCAAAGCAGCCTCTGAGCATGTCTGTTGCACTGTATCACATGGGTGGAAAGTGACTTTCCCAAACCTGGCACATTAACTGTCATGCACTGCTAATGAATGCTACTTTTCTCTTATTAACTACTGACTGTGGGTGCTAATGAGAGGATACAGGGATAAAATAAATATAACATGTCTCAGAGGCTTTTAAAATTTTTACTTCTTTTTTTTGGAGACTGGGTATTGCTCTAACACCAAGGCTTGAATGCAGTGGCGTGATCATAGTTCACTGTAGCCTCAACCTTCTGGGCTCAAGCCATCCTCCCACCTCAGCCTCCTGGGTAGCTGAAACTACAGATGTGTGCCACTACACCCAATAATTTATTTTTATTTTTTATATAGACGGAGTCTTGCTATTTGGCTTAGGCTGGTCTCAAACTCACGGGCTCAAGCGATCCTCCTATCTCAGCCTTCCAAAGTGCTAGGATAACAGGCATGAGTATCATACTTGGATGAGATTTTTTAATATTATTTATAAAGAAGTTGTATTACATTAACCTCCAAAAGCTCATTTTGTTTCTCCCTGGAAACCCTTTCTTGTATTGAACCTTCAAATGACAAGAACTGGTTAATTATCCACAGAGCTAAATGGAGAGTAACAGACTTGGAGTTGGTGTCCCGGGTTCTCTCATTATTGTGGCAGTGACCTGCCTGTAACAACGAGGCCTCTTCACAGAAATATTGACAAAGTTTTTATCCCAGCTGCTACTTAAGGAGAAACACAAGCACGGGCCATGTAAATGGGTTTCTGAAGCCTTCAGGAAGTCTCAGAAGTCTAGCTGCATGGCCAGGGACATTATTTTCAAACCTCCCATAAGACAGACATGAGCTCAATTCCAACTGTAAAAGAAGATTTGAAAACAGAGTGCTTCATCTAAAATAATCTATAACTCCAACACATGTGCAGTCATTGGGCTCTATCCCCACTTAACAGGATGCCAGGAAGAGAGGAAGAGAATGGAGCCTGGAGCACGAGATTCGAGCCCGAACAAACCCACAAGACTCCACATCATCTTCAGGATGACTCACATCCCTGAGAGGAGAGATTTTTACCTGAAGTTTGCATGAGGTAGACACGGATGGCATTGGCAGCAGCACCACACAGAAACACACCACTGAGCCCAAGGCAGAGGCGGGTCAAGTTGTCACTGTAGTCCACAGTGGGGTTGGTATAGATGACATCGATGATCTTCCCCAGGAAGAAAGGGGCAGACATGGAGATAACACTGGACATCGTGAGAAATCCAACCGCAGCTAGAAAAAAACCAAATGCTCTCAATGCTCAGGGCACTTCAGCAAAGGGGCTAGGGTGCTGGAGGTTTCATTGCCAAATAAGCTGTTTTCAGAGTATGGGTTGATCTCAGTCTCTAGCAGTTTCCTCCCTTTTGCTCCCTGACCCCTGACTCAAGGGAAGAACCAAATAGTTCCAGGTGAGAACAAGCAGGGGAACTAAGGGAGCAAGTGATCGTACCTGAAGCAGAGAAGATGATTTCTTAGGCTAATTAACTCTTCCTCACCAAGAAAAACTGGGAGGCAACTATGGAAACCTGTTCTGGTCAGCCCCTCCTTCCCTGTCTCTTGATTTTGGTGTTCATCTCCGATCATATTTTTCCTCCATTCAAGCTATACTATACTCTTTGGCATCTAACTGCACTGTAACTTGAAGATCAAGCTGCCCAGTTAAAGCCCTTGATTACATCTAGTATCTCAAAACACTCTGTCTACGGCCACACACTCCCAATGCACCCAATCTTGTCTGACCTCGGAAACTACGCAGGGTCAGGCCTCATTACTACTTGGATGGGAGACCGCCTGGGAATACAAGGTGCTGTAGTCTTTAAACAAACAACCCACTCTAGATAACTTTTGTAAAACAGTTTCAAGGATCCATTACACATGTAATATATTGCTTCTTAATATTATATTATTGCTTTGGGAAATATCAACATGATATGAAAATAAATATGAACACGATTGTTCATGCACATAAAAAACAGGCAAACAAGATAAAGTCTTATCAGAAGAGTAAATATTGGCCAGGCAAAGTGGCTCATGTACTCAGTGCCAACTGGACATTTAGTTAACAGAGTTCTAGGAAAAACACGAGCCTCTGAAGTGGGGAATATTTCAAACAATTGCCCTTGCCCCTCCTTAAGGTCTTTATTCTAAAGTCCCCTCCCCCAAAAGGCCTAGCACTTCAGGAGACTGAGGCAGGCAGATCACTTGAGCCCAGGAGTTTCAGATCAGGCCCATCTCTACAAAAAAACATAGAAATTAGCTGGGGTGGTGGCAAGCACCTGTAGTCCCAGCTAGTCAGGTGGCTGAGGTGGATTACTTGAGCCCAGAGGTTGGGACTGCAGTGAGTCATGATTGTGCCACTGCTCTCCAGCCTAGGCGATACAGCAAGACGCTGTCTCAAAAAAAAATTTAGAAAATCCATTATGAACAGGCCAGGCATGGCGGCTCACACCTGTAATCCCAGCACTTTGGGAGGCCGAGGCAGGTGTATCACTTGA